GAGAAGAACTCACGTGTTCATACTGGTGGTAGTTGCCACTACTTTTCTAGCTAGTAGATAGTGGTATACTCATGTTCCCATTTGTGTCACCAATTTGATTTAGACTCGGCCAGCCATGTCGAACAGCCTTGGAGAACCTCACTGTTTCAGAGACGACATCCGTCCCAACGACCGGCACGTCCTGCCAAGTAACCGAGTCACCGGGACCTTTCGGAACCCTCACAGAGAAGCACCACCCGTGTTTAAGGGAACAGATGACATCCCAGGCATAATACCTGGAGATTATATAAAATAGACAATTCGTACATTGTCAGTGTGGTCGCTATGATAGGAATGATATGGAAGGATCATGCTAGGTAGGACAGTAGAGAACCTCAAAGATCCACGTAACAGCCACCATTGTCATCATAGACATCAAAGATCCCGGGTTCTCTTCCACCCCTCACCTCTCTTCCACCGCTTGAACTCGACGACACGGCCGTGAATGCAGGGTTTTTCTGTGTCGTCTCAGGCCGAATGGAGGAGTTGCCCATTGCGGAGAAGCACTACGTCCTGGGAACGCCCATGAAGGGCCCCTGGGAACCACATTTGGAGACTTGGGCGAGCCTCCGGCGGCGCGTGGAGCGACACGGTGCGACGTGGCCGGCCAGTGCTGCCAAGGTACCGGAGGGTGCTGCCAATTGAGATTTGCCTAGATGTGCGCAAGGTGAATCGGCAAGTGTTTGGGTTGCATCTTTTGAGCTGACAAGTAGACCAAATCAATCCACTCAGTGGCACCCTAATTATGTATCACTGGATGAGTTGGATCCAGTACTGGATCCGTGAAACCACGAACTGGGTCACCACTCCGGATGCATCCTCCAAGTATCAATGATTGGTAATTAGAATTGAGAGAAGTATTCTCAACTAACGGGGTATGTTCATCTTCCTGAGCAACATTTTGGAGACTCCCGATGTTCAGAAAGACCTGGAGCCAAAAGCATAGTGGACCCTGGTTTCACCTGCGTATGGTAGCTGAAATACTCCAAACAGCAAACTGGATAGCACTGGGAAGGACGGAACTCTGGTGTGCTACAAAGGTATGTTTTTTGCTTGTCATGTTAGGGAGATCTGCGACTTGACACCGTTGACAATCCATGTTATGGCCTGTTGACCTACCAGTCACCATGTGTTGCGGCTGTTAGCCGCTGAGCAGCGCCTCAGCCGCCTCAGCATCCTAGGACATGTTTGTCTTTGCGAATGGATGTTTTTGGGGCAGTGAGAAACTCGGAAGCAAGCTTTCAGTTTTTCTATGTGCTTGTTTCATTTTATTCTATTGCTTTCTATTTGCTTTCTATGTTTTTCTTGGGCTCCGGTCTTTGAACCACGCCACCCTGGGCAGGACATAGTGTTTCTTGAATTGCCAGGTTATACAGTGCTCTCTAGGGGGCATCGAGCAAACCTAACCAGCAGCTACCTCCAAGGAAGGGTGTTTGGAGATTGCCCGGCGGTGGCATCTTCTCCACTGCCGTGGGCTATGCGGCCGGCTTCACGCCCAACCCCACCTATGAAGAAGCCTGCAGCGGCTTAACGGGCCACACGGAAGCAGCGCCTGGGCTGCGAGCAGCGCTCCCCCGGAAGTCGGTCCGGAAAGGAGTTCGGTGAAGGTCCAGAGGCGGAAGCTTCCCCTTTTGGCAGCAAAAGTTCATATAAAAGTCTGAGGATGTTTCTCCGGTTGAGACCTAAAGTGACAGCTCATGTTCCTATTTTTGGGAACAGAGTAGCGGGACGGCGCACCCGAATCAGGGAAAGGGGTAGGGGGTCCTCGTTGCCGGTCCCGGCCTCCAGGTCCTCGTGTCAAAACGTGCACCCGACCTTCGGCTGTGAACAGGTCGTTGCATGGTGTTAGCCCCAAAAGAAAAGAACACACCTGGCCAGGTGCAAGTGGTCTTCGATCCAGAGAAGGTCAGCCTCGTGGACATCCTCCGTTGGTTTTGGGAGGCTCATGATCCCACGCAAGGCATGGGACAAGGCAACGACCGAGGGACTCAGCGGCTCGGCAAAAAGACAACACAACTGTCAGCTAATAAGTGTAGCGTATTCAGTCCGCCTTCCACACTCAGGAGCATGAGGCATGCAAGTGTTCTGTTGCTTCCTTTTTCTTCAAGAGCAAATGGGTCTTGATACTCTATGATATTCTATGGTACTCTTTATCTTAATCTATGTGTTGATCATTGTGGCTCGTTGTTTTGATGGTTGGTTTTGTGCTGATGGTGGTTTGTCTTCACGTCTTAGTTGTTTCATTGTCATTTGGAGGTGGCTCAAAACAGCACATCAATGGACTGGAGGTTGGGTAGTTACCTCATTAAGCATTTTGTCCAACTATGATTGAGCCAGTAACCCCTCCCATCTCAATATGCAGCCATGTGTGTGAGAATGAGGTACCGCAGTGGCCTCTACTACTTCAATGACGAGCAGCGACGCCTCTTTGAAGCCAGCAACTTGGAGATGTTCTGCCAGGAACTCGCGCCTCTCGTGAACCCGCGCACACGTGAATGGAGTCTCCAACTACCCAAAAGGATCCAAAAGGAAGGAAGAAGGTGCATGTGGCCATTCTGTAGACATTTGTAGACTTCATCGTTGTTATTTTGATTGATACGTTGTACGTTCAATCCAGTTGTACAATGCGACATCTCGGCTTGACCAGGTAAACAGGCCTATGATCAGGCTTTGCAAAACGCCAACCGTCATCTTGGCTGCAGTTCCGGACAAAACCGGATGCGACATAGTTGGTTGGCTAATGGTCATAAAATGGTCATGAGTCATAAGCAGTAGGCATTGAAAACAAACCTTCCCAAAAGTACCTGTCCTATAGTTCCTATGATGGAAATGGGGCATGTTCCATGTCTATGTCCAAAAAACACGGAGTAGTTCCTTTTGCATTCCTTCCATTGCGTGGCAACTGCAGAAGCGTGCGTTTGTGCTTGTATATCTCTACTATTCGGATGCGGAGACTCTATCGGTTGGAACTTGGTGCAAAGAACCGTGTGTATGGAGCACGCGACTGACCGAGACAGATCCTGCTTGGATTCACTGAATCTTTGCCGAATGGTGTCTGGTGTCTATTCGACAATCTATCCGCTTGAGACATAGACATATATACCCAAGGCAGTACCCAAGGGCCGAGCATGGCCCGGCATGACCCCATGGCCCGGCAAAACTTGGGTCCAGCGGGACTGCAGCCTGCTTTCCAGTTCACCATGTTCTTCATTGTTCTTCGTACACCGGCTTCAACTACCCGCGGAGTGGAGATGTTTTGGAGCTCATGTTCCGAAGGTCGCGAGCGTTTTGGTTGGTGTTTTTGTTCCCGATCACCGCAACGGGTCAGTCAAATCTGGCTACCGTGATTGGATCTTCCACAATAATGGCAACATGAATCACTTAGCAGTGAGGCTTTCGAAGACCCTCGCCATCCTCCAACCCCTGCTCGGCTGCTGGGGCTACAGGTGGCCGCGGAAAGATCACCACGGAGATCGCCGCAGCCGACAGCTTCCCGGACGGCCGGGTCTTCTACTACGCCGAGGCCCGGAGAGAACCGGAAACCGAACTCAAGACGGGAAAGGTCTTCGGAAGGGGAAGTTTGTGGAGGTTTGCGGAGGAAGAGGTGGACTCTTTCCAGGAGACGCGGAGAGTCTGTGGATTGATTGATTTTGTTTTGGATCTTTTTCGCACGGGAGAGCAGTGAGAAGTGAGAAGCCTATTCACAACCACATCACACAAGGCGTTTTCTTGAGTGATGTCTACGCAGAACAACGTGAACCAGAGAACTAGGGGGGAAAGAGAGAGAGAGAGAGAGAGAGTGGGAGATGAAACCAGTGATGAAACCTTGCAGGGAAGAGCGTGGCATGGTGGGGGAGGGTAAAATGCAAGTAGATTTGATTGAAGATTATAGACTATAGGACTATAGAGAATCTACCTTCCCGAAATGAATCTGTGTTTGCATTGATGCTAGGTTCTTCCATTGCACACACCATGTGAATCTATGTGAAGCTAAGCCCCAAACCTAGGCACATGTAAGTTACACTTTCCAAAAATGTAACTTATATATACATTGTTCAACGTCCACTGCCATTTTTTGCGGCGGTCCTCAGAAATGTATGCGTTCATTTATTTTTATATGTAAGTCCATTGTTGGACTAGATGTTTGCTTACATCTTGGAGGTGGTTTACAGCCAAAAGTGTCGCTTACATGTTCTGGAGGACCTCCTTCAAGAAGATGACTGCCATGTTCCATAATATTCATTTTCTGGGGATCCTCCTACTTCTCAGTCATGGCCATGGGACTCTCACCAGTCGTGGCCGGCATGACCTTGTGTCTCGCGACGGCCAGGACTATCACCAGCAGTATTTGGCAAAGCCTCGAGCTCGGCCATATTGCCTCTTGACGCCCATGTTCGTGCATGGCCAAAAGTGCTGGAAAACAGGTTTAAACAACAAGTGTCAAAAGGGCGCTGTTTCTTTTTGCAGGGTGGAAAAAAGGAGAACCCTGAGGCCCTACAGATGTTGGAAACACATTTGTGGCATTACAGTACCAACTATTGAACTATTGTATACTCCATTATACTCCCTTGTAGACCAATATGGACCCTAAAACAGACTCCTGTGAGATGATCATCTTTTAGGTGTTCTATGGTTTTTCAGGGTCCTAATCTGCAGGATTGTACCTCCAAGGATGGTGAATGGACATCCCTATCAACAGACAGGGCACAGCCCGGGTACCAACAAATATCTCTTCAGACCCCCCACATCTCCGACCCCAGAAAGCTCCACCCGGCGCCGCCGCTGCCGCTTCGAGCTTGCGCTGGCCGAGGCTCTGCACAACCGCAGGTGGTGGCCCTACCGTCTTTCGAGTCTTGGTGCCCGGAGGACTTGCAGGAGCCCGCGGGGCTTTGAGCGCCGGAGCCCGCGGAGAGAGGGCGTTTCTTGGTGAACGCGACCGGGCCGACCGGGCCGAAAGAGATTCTTCTTGAAGTTCTTCAATGACGAAGTATTTCTGTTCATACTCTAGTGATACTGTATTTGTTTGGGGTCTTCTTCTCCAACAGATGGAAGAAGGGGACAACACGTTTTGAGTGACCCAATGTTTCTATCTAAAGCGTCCTGGACGACCTGTTTGATGACCTGCCCACGATGGGGTGGGGTGGTGGAAAAGCTCGGGATGGATCTTGGATTGGTATGCCGGAGTCAGGATGTCCATTTGATGATTGCTGGGCGCAAGAGCCACTTTCAACGGGTGATTCCTTTGCCCACCTGGAAATTGTCCCCACCAAAAATAAGTCTTGTGTGCGGTCCAGGTACATACTCTACAATTTGTCATGAAGACTTTATGGACTGAGATGAAACACCTCAAGCACAATCTGGCAATGCATTTCTTGTGTTATAGCTTCAGAGTACAACTTGGCACATGACTCTCAAGGAAACATGTACCCCTATATATATATGTTTAAGATACATTGACAATCACTAGCATATATACTGTATTGTTTTGGCAGAAGGCTTATCACAGAGTTACACAGCTTGTGATCAAACATGGTGTTTTCTTTCTGTGGTGTGAACTGTGTTGCGCATCTTTTCGCCACAGAAAAAGACGAGCAAAATCACGTTGTTCAATCAAAAGCTCCTCTGAAATGGATCCGGCACAGAGGAGAAGTACAAGCCGAAGCTTCCAGAGGACCAGTCCAGCGACCCCTACGGGGTCGGGGGCGTGTCGAAGTAGGTCGGATTAGGGCGATTGGAGGTGTTGACAAAGGAAGCATTGGAGGGGGGTTCTCCCTTTCTGGGTGGGTGCCATGTGTAGCAAATCTTGCAGTTTCCGGGTTGAAAATACAAAGAGAACAAGGGAGCGGGATGGTTTGTGCAGCAGTCATGTTTTATATCCGTGATGAATTCCTGCCCAGCATCAAGGCTCCAGTCTTTTGGGAACTTTGGAATGCTTGTCAAACAAGGAAGGACCAAAAACAGCTAAGCAGGCTCCTTGGGTCAACGTGTTCAACGCAAATTTGCATATACTTGCTCAGTTTAGATTTTCGCACCTTACGCAGGGCCCTTTGAGCGGTTCAAAACAAGTTTGGCATCGGAGCTTTGGTTTCGGCGCCATAGACCCGCGGCTGCCTGGCGCGTTCGACGCGCCGCCGGACACGACCTCCGGCCAGGTGGAAGTCACGACTTTTCCACCGACCTTCCACCGAGCCACGCTGCCGAGCAGCGTAAGCCGTGGCCTGACGGCCAGCCTGGTTGGCGCCTTGCTGATCTGGCTGGCAGCTTTCACCGAATTCGCCGACTACCAGGAGGTGAAAGTTGAGCACCAGCTCTTGAACCCGAGCGACTTGGACAAGGACATCGAGGTCCCGCTCTTCACCTTCCTGGCAGCGATCCTGGGCCCCGAGGAGTACCTTTGCTTGCATTGGAAGCTTTGCCCAATCTACGCCTCAATGGCAGCTGCCCCTTCGACTTCGCTGAGCTCAGGAGTTCCCTTGCAGGAATTCCGCCGCGACCTGCCGCCTGGTTGGGCACCTGGTCTTGCCGACTACAGCTTGAACCAGTACCTCCAGAAGCTGAAGCTCTGGTACCGGATCTACGACGGACCAGACGAAGCAGTCGGCCCTCTGGTCGCAGGAAGACTGCAAGGACAAGCTCAAAAACTGGCGATGAACCTGCGCCTCATCCGCCCTGACGGAAACTTCGATGTGGGTGACAACGCCCTTGTGAGGCTCAGTGTGGACCAGGTCATTGACCCCATGGATGGTGTGACGATCCTCCAACACGCCATACCTTCAGGAGTTCAAGCTCTCGCTCATCAACTTCGTGAAGCCTTCGGCATGAGCGACCAAGAGCACACGACCTCGGCCCTCAACGCCTTCTTCGAGTTCAGAAGAGGAAAGCTGTCGCTTCAGGAGTACGCATCCGAATGGGATCTGAGGTACGATGAAGCTCAGACACGTGCAGGCCTTGACATCAACCCGGTCGCCAAGACCTACCTCTGGTTTCGCAATTCAGGCCTGCCGAACAAGTTCATCGAGGATGTGAAACTCCAGATCCAAGGAGACATGTCTCGCTTTGCTGAGGCCAAACGTCTTGCCCTTCGACTCAGTCAACGTGGTGAGAACTCCACCTTCTCCACCGACCTGTACGGCACCGTGGACGAGCCCTATGAGGACTACCACACCACAGATGACTGGTCTTCATGGCATGAGCCTTGGCAGGAGACATGGTATGCCGATGAATGGGCCGATGACGACCTCTACACCTGGTATGATGCTGAAGAAGGCTACTATGATGAGGAATGGTCCACATACCACGGCGAGTCTCCTTCGAGCGAATGGTACTCTCCTGAAGAGTACGACATGAGTGCACAAGATGCCTATGATCCTCCACCTCAAGCTGCCTCCTCAACAGACCAGAATGAAGATGCTTACTATGGCAAAGGAGGAAAAGGTGGCAGCGGTGGATGTCATGTTTGTGGCTCCAAATGGCATCATGCTGCACAATGCCCCGTCAAGACTGGCTCTCGTGAGTTTGGCAAGAGCAAGGGCAAGGGCAAGTTCAAGTCAAGACCTCCATGGCGCTCGAAAGGAAAAGGCAAGTGGTCTTCAGGCAAAGGCTACAAAGGAAAGAAGGGCAAAGGCAAGAGCAAGGGCTACAGCCATGACTCACAGGGCTACATGGTTGATCGTGATGCCATGGCTTACTTCCGTCAACAGCCTGGCAATGGACTATGTGTTGAAGATCCATCAACGCCTCCACGCCCTGTGAATCCCTCTTCATCCTTGAAGATGACACCTCCAGACAACACCGAGCTCTTGGCCTGGCGAGGATCAGCTCCGTCAGAAGAAGCTGGTCATGACCCTTCATCTGGAGAGACCTATGCCGAAGTTCCACCTCCGAAGAACTTGACCTTCGCCACCTATGTCAACAACACCAGTGTTGAGCACTCATGCTACCACCACTCCGTGAAGGGCAAGAAGCGAAGAGGTTTGTTGATCGACCCTGGAGCCGCTGCTGGACTTGTTGGTTCAGAGACCCTTCGTGACCTCATCGAGAGCTGCTACCCTGAGGATGGCAAGAACATGGTCACTTGGAGCGAATCTACTGCCACGATCACAGGCATCAGCGGCTGCCCTGACAAGGCCTTGGGTCGAGTTCATCTTCGCCTACCCTTCAGAGGCTTGAAAGCGGTCTATGAGGCCGATGTGATTGGCAATGAAGGCTCACTATGTCCAGCACTATGTGGCAATCCAGCCCTATGTGCAATGAAAGCTTCGCTTCATTCATCCTGGTTTGACAACCAAGATGGTCTCCTTGTCACCTGGGATACGCAGAGCCAGAACACCCCTGTGATGTATGCTTTCCGAGTCCTTCTCACCGACTCAGGCCACTACTTGCTTCCTTTGGACGAGGACACCAGTCTGAAGAGCCAGGACCTGCAGATCTGTCACTTCATCAAGGAGCTCTCTGAGGTGTTCCATCGTCAGTGGCCTGATCATGCATACACCTTCTGGCAAAGTGCAGTTCGCACGGCAATCCCAGAGCAGAAGCGGAGTTGCCTCGAGAGGACATATCACTCCAGTCCTTTTGAGGTTGAACCCAAAGATCCAAGAGCTACTACACAGCAGACTTCATGCTCTACAACACCTGAGGCTGAGATCAAGAACTACAACAGTTTGACCTCATGCTCCACAACCGTTGAGGAGAAGATCAAAGACCAAGGCATTGACACATCATGCTCTGCGTCCCCTGAGGCTGAGATCCATGACCACAGCGTGAACACTTCATGTTCCACGTCCCCTGAGGCTGAGATCCATGACCACAGCATGAATACCTCATGTTCTACAATCCCTGAGGAGACTTTCAATGACCATGGCAAGGATACTTCATGCTCAACAACCACCGATGTTTTCCTGGCAGATGCACTCATCGACCTGCCGCTCTACACAGGCGACCTTCTTCCGAACTACCTCACACCTGAGGAGCAAAAGAAGTTGACCAAGGACTACAAGGCTATGCCTGAAGAGTTCTACACCCACACCAATCGCAGAATGGTCACACCGTCTTCCTTTCCCAAATGGTTCAGTGAAGCCAAGAAGAGGAAGACAAAGTGGCATGTGTGGGAATGGTGTTCAGGAAGCTCGAGGTTGAGTTTGACATGTTGCCTGGCAGGCCTCATCGTTGGCTTCCCCGTCGACTTCCGCTACGGCTGGGACATTGGCAACCCTGAACATCAAAAGATGCTTGATATGGCTCTCTCCACCTTCGAGCCAGAGATCCTCATGGCATCACCTCGCTGCAAGTTCTGGAGCATTTCTGCATCTCGCCGAGATCGACATCTTCTTTTACAAACCGCGAGGCAGAAAGACCGACTCTGACCTACATGCAGCAGACCATGAGCTACCAGGTCACTTCGGGCAGAGCTTATGTGCTGGAGCAACCTTGGACTTCAGCGATGTGGTCCGAATCAGTGATGGTCCGCAACCAGGACTTTCCTTGCTGGCGCAAACCGCGCCTCACTGATCAGTGCTCCTTTGGTGCTGTGGATGAGAAGAGAATTCCTGTGAAGAAATCCACTGGCTTGGAGTCCAACATCAAACTCAAGATGGCCATTCGACGTTGCAATGGACATCATGGGCAAGCACACGCTGCACTTCAGGGACAACACAATGGAGTGAACCGCACGGCCATGGCTGCGGTATATCCTTCTGGATTCTGCCGTGCATTGCTCCAAGACTTCCTGAAGCACCTTCAGCCCAAAGGACTCCTTCGCTCAAGACATCGCGATGCTTGGCAGACCCTGCGCACCTACTACAAGTGTGAACGCTGCGAGTTTGGCCGTGCTGCAACCGCTGACATGCAGCATTCCTTCATCCCTGGCGAATGCAGGTATGGCAGGATTCCCAAGACAGCTGAATCATCGCCTTCTACCACTCCATCTCCATGGACAGAGTTCCAAAAGGCAGCAAGAAATCACAAAGGTTTGAAGGAGGTGACTTTGACAGTTCCTGTCGGCTTCAAGATGAGTCCAGAAGAGGTTGTCTACCTCAAGCATTTGCTCTGCACCCTCATCGAGCAGAGCATGGTTTTCTTTGAGGAGGCTGACGGCAAGGACTACCAGTATTGGATTGACGATCCAATCTTGCTCTCTATCATCCGCACATGTTTGAAGAAGGTGATGTACATCCATGGCGTTCATATCGCACTACATCCTTTCGTCAAGCCCTTTCCAGAACCAAAGCTTTCAGCGTCAGCAGCTCCTTTGCGGCTGATCTTCAGAGGCGAGTTCAAGAACTGGACGATGCACGATCTTGAAGACCTCCGTGAACTGTCACCGGCTCAGCAACGAGCACCTGTGGAGGAGGAGAACTGGATGATCACAATGTTTGGTGCTCCTGAAGCACCTCAGACTGGCAAGGCACCCAAGACTCCAAAGACAACATCAAAGACTTCAGCTCCATCTACTTCAGCGCCAATGACACCGGCACCAGCTACTCCTGGAGTTGGCGCTTCCCCTGGCACACCGGCACCTCATGCAGTACAAGATCCACCTCATGCATCACAAGACCCTGAACAGGCTGGAGGAGAGTCTGTTCATGAGAGAAAGGATGATCAAGCACTACCTGATGCTCCCTATGAAGACATCAGCATGGAGTTGCCTCATGCCAGAACGCTGAAGCCTTTGTACTCCATGAAGCGCGTTCTTCAACGCCTTCCGGATGCAGTGAAGACTGCACCTGCCACGGCCAAGCGACACCTACTTGGCTTACATGAGAAGCTATGGCATGCGACCGCCCGAGACTTTGCCAGCCTCCTGCTCAAGGCTGGCATGCCCCCTGAAGTCATTGAGATGTCCGCCGAAGCTGTGGCCTCTTGTGGCATCTGTCGTCGCTACTCTCGCCTACCAGCTCGACCTCGCACCAAGGTCTCATTGGCCGCTCACTTTGGAGATGAAGTTGAGATGGACATCTTCTTCCTGTGGGACAAGGCCTTTTGTCTCATGGTGGATGTAGCAACTCGCTACAAGGTGGCCTTCCTCACACCAAGCCGTGATGCTGAAGATCTTCTACCTGGCATCTACGCCAATTGGGTTCGCTTCTTTGGGCCAATGCGAATTCTCACAAGTGATCAAGAGCCTGCTTTGATGTCATCAGCAGTGGCAATCGAATGTGAGAGACTGGGCATCACTCGCAACCCCAAAGGAACCACCGCTGGAGAAGCTGGAAAGCAGCACACTGGCACTGGCTTGATCGAGCGACACGTCGAGCTCATCAAGCTGACTATGAGGAAGATGAAAGCTGAATGTGAGAGGCAAGGCCTGAAGAGCGAGGACAACGACATCAGCATGGAAGCTGCAATGAGCCACAACCTGTGCCTCACCTATGGCGGCTACTCTCCTGCAATGGCCGTTTTTGGAGTCCTTCCACGCTCTCTCTACGAGTTTGAGTCTGACACCTTGACTGCAGTGCGTGGAGCCTTGGACCGTGACCTTTCAGTGTTTGAGAGTGCAATGAGGCTCCGCCAGATCTCTTTAGTGGCTATCCAGCAGTCAATTGCTGAAGATCGCATTGCAAGAGCCTCCAGGTCACGACCTCACAAGGTGGAGACCTCAGAGATGACGCCCGGAGTTTCCCAGATCGAGATCTACCGGGACAACTGCTGGCGAGGACCTGCGACTTTGTTGGAAGTCAATGAGGACGAAGGAACTTCAGTTGTGAAGCATCAAGGACGACCTTATCTACTACCACTTCGCTTTGTGCGTCCTTTCCGAGGTGTGTTTTTCAACATGGACACCACCAATGAAGAGATTTACAAGACCATGCAATTGGTGGAAGAATCAAATCCCTATGTCCAGCACTTCCTCGGCTACAAGCTCACTCTGAGTTCCTCTGGACACACTTGGTTGAAGAGTCCTTCTACACCTTCAACAGCACAAGAAAAGTGCTTAGCGTCCTTCTCTCAATGGTCCAGCTGGCTTCAACATCCTGTACATGCTTTGCTGTACGGACAGGCACTTCATACACTCCGTCCACCTTCATCCACGAGAGGCACCATTCTGATATGGTTGAAGAACACCACGGACTACGTGAAGGTGACCAAGATGGATGACTGTCCAATGAAGCTGAAGAAGTCCTACTACCAGCACTGGGAGAGCATGTGTGTGCTCTACTTCATGTACTTCCCGCTCAGCATCCAAGAGGAACCACCTCCTGCTTTACCTCAAGTACCACAAGCACCTATGGATGTGGCACCAGCTCCGCGACCACCACCAGAAGACATGGAGATTGAGTCCACTCTGCCTGTTGTTCCATCCAAGCGCTACGTCCCAGAAAGCAGATCTCCAAGCATGCATCCAGAGAAGAGGACCCGGATCGATGAGTTCCTGGTCTCCTTTGACACCTACCAGAATCTTCACACAATTCAATGGATGCTGGATCGTCGACGACATCATCGAGTGCATTTCTCTGATGTCTGGGACGAGATGATGCGCGTTCCTCGTTGGTATGCCAATCTCACCATGGAGAATGTCATCTACCACTCCAAGTCTCATCATCAAGCAGTACAGCAACAGCATGCAAAGCCTTTGGTTCATCAACCAAGCTACAAGCTGCGCTACTACCAGCTCGACTTGGCACATGGTGGAAGCTTTCACTCCTTGGCTGAAGACAACAGTGTGAAGGAGGAGGACCTAGCAGAGATTTGGGAACAGGTGGAGGAAGCTGATGCCAAAGAACTTGCACAGTTCGTGCAAGAGAAAGCCCTTCGTCAAGATCAAGCTCCATGAGGTTCCTGACGGCACCGTCATCATCGATGGAGTGTGGGTCCGTGTTTGGAAGATCAAGCAAGGCAAGAAGATTCTCAAAAGCCGCATGTGTGCCCGCGGCTGCTTCGACCCACAGAAGGCTGAACTGAGCACAAGATCCACTACGGCAAGTCGCCTTTCCCAGCGACTACTGCTATCGACTGCAGCAGTGATGGGCACCTGTCCTGAAAGCTGGGATGTGAGTGGCGCTTTCTTGAAGGGCCTCACCTTTGATCGCATCCGAGAGCTTCTACTCCAGCAAGGCATCATCCACTGGTCATCCCACCATACAACTGCTGGCGCCATTTGGCCAAAGAAGATGCTTCTTTCTCCGTGGCACCTCATGAGATCCCTGAGTACGGACTATGGTGTCTGAAGCCCGTCTACGGCTTGAATGATGCCCCCGTGGCTTGGCAGTTGAGCCTTGGCGAGTTTCTGAAGAAGCACAAAGGTGTTCCCAGTCATCTGGACGACAGTTTTTACCACTGGAAGAATCCGAAGGCCTCACCATCTTTGCAGGCAGTCCTCACAACCCATGTTGATGATTTAGCAGTGGTTGGCTCTCCGACTTTCCTCAACCAGCTCTATGGCGACATGTGCAAAGAATTTGGAAAGATCACCAAGGATTGCCTTCCATTTGCACACTGTGGCTGCCGCTACTCCAAGACCGAGACCGGCCTGAAGATGGATCA